AACGTTTTTGAAGATGAAATTTTTAACTCATAAATATAAACGTTCCAAATTCACAAAGAGATAAATTTCTCAATGATAGTTAGGTTTCAACAGAATATTAACATAGAAAACAACTAGATCATTCAACTTATTGTGAGATGGCTTCTTGATGTGAGCGAAATTTTTCGTCGTCAAAAACAACAATTCAGAAACTGACTCATAGTTACTTTGAAATGGGCTTCTAGCAACGACAAATATTTCTTCCATAGATTGCAAAATCATTTCTCATGGACTGCAACATGCTGAATTAGGAGTGTTTTTCAGAAGTGTAAAATTATCCTCAAATAATTACACGTTACGATAAAATGATACAATCAACAATTACTTATGTAATCGTCTTTATTTGCGAAACTGTTTGATTGATCAGAGAGACAGAATATTCGTTGGCGATGAGCATCGCGATGAAAGGATTTTGCCATTCAAGATCCGTTAATGATTCACATTAATTCTAAGCCATCAACTTTCCATGTTGACAAAAGCAATTAGAGAGAATTTCGTTTGCGGTTTGCGAAACATTTCGATCGTCGCAGACAAACGACCGATCACAACGGGAAATAGCATATTTCCAATAGTATCAGAATTGTGGAATAAATTTCGTCGCTTCGCTTATGAAATAAATATTTTAAGACAATAACAAATAGACAATAATAAGATGGTGAACGCGCCTCAACAATGGTTTTGAGATGCACCTCAATAGAACGCAATTCAGAAGATGTCTCGGCGCATAGAAACACCAGACTAGTCTCCATCTTAATGTGAAACATATGTTTTCTCAAGAATTTGAAATTATTCACGCCGAAAATATTCCCAAAGTCTTCAGTTTTCGAAGCATTTTAAATTTCTTCAACGGTATTTGTTTCAGAGACAATTGCAATAGCTCCAAATCGCTCGCTCCTATATCGTACCATCAATGTATCACTCTTGCAATCGCAAACATTTAAGTTAGCACTTATCAAAGATTTATCAGACAAACAAACCAAATGGTATCTTAACAAAAACAAACCGAAAATTTGAAAAATGAAAACCATCCACTGCGGAGAAAATAGAAAAAGTGNTGTTGCTGCATTGCAGTGCCTTGCTGTGGCATCAAACCCATCAACTGCCAAGGGTTCGCCTGCAAAAATTCGTCTGATTTCCTCCAATCCTGCAAATCCATTGACATTCAGACACGACACGACACGACTCATTCTGTTGATTCGATTCTACGAGCGGCATTACTCAATGAAAGATTCTTGTATATTGGTGGGCATTCGTGCTTTCTAAAAGTTCACTCAAATGTTCAAGTCTTACGATGTTTGCCGAAGGGTTCGGGAAATAGCTTGCAGAACTATTGCATATACACTGATATTGTTACTATCCATTGTTATTATCCATACACTGATATTGTTACTATCCATGTTACTATCCATACACTGATATTGTTACTATCCATGTTACTATCCAAACTAATAATGACTGATCCGAATATCACGGTGTTGGCATTCTTATGATGTTTAATCCAGCATGACCATCGTTATTGACATGATTTATTGTAACCACGATCATCGGGGCTAGAAGAAGAACACGACTAACATGAGGTGTTGGATGTGAAGCAATGGATGCAGCTTCACTCGTGCTTATACTGGAATCTAACGGATTTGCAATCGAGGCGCCATTCAGCAGAGAAGAGGACGCAGATGAGCCCATTTGTGGTCGATGCTGATGGGCTGGTGGTGGTTGGCCTATGGCGGCGCTACACAACTCGGAGCCGCCAAGACCTGAGGTGCTCGTACTGGTGGCGATAGCGAACGGATTCGCCGACGGATGATTCAACATGACTGGATTCGATTCCGATCTCTTGCGCAAACTACTGAAAATT